ATTTTACCGGATAACCCAAAAAGAAAGTCTTTTTCAAAAAAGTAAAAATGGATAATCATAATCACCTTTGAAAACATTTCCAAACTTTAAAAAATTTGTGACGTGTGCAAATCTCCCAATGAATAATAAATTATCTCCCAATGAATAATAAATTTTAGAGAGAGAGAGACTGGGCTTTCCACACCCATAAACAATTACAGTCTCAGAGGCCCACAGGGCGTCACTACACATCAGCAATGACTCAATGGCAGTGAGTTTCTATACTATTACTAAACTGTATTAATACTAAATTATTTACTCTTCCCCACAATATCAACATTTAGTAAAAGTTACTTGAGCACAAACCAAGGTAACAGCATGAAAACCTCCTAAAAGCCACCATATACCGCCCTTCTTTTAAAGCCATTTTTACAGATTCCATAATGAAACAGTACAATTTGTTTATTTTAGGAAACCCCGTTATTTTCAGCGTTCAGCTTGAAAGCACTTTACCTACATACTCAAGCAAGTTGACTGCCTCACTCATGAGGTTATTTGAGGCCAGATAGGGAACTAGCTGCCTTTTTTCATAGAATACCATTTTTCCTTGACAGACAGACATTGCCATTTAGACTTGGGTATATTTGGTAGACAATATTCTTGAAAATGAGTTGAGTGAGCCTGTCCCTTCAAAGAAAATTCGACATAAGTATTTACTACCCAGGATACATTTTGCTGTGTCATTTGAGAATTAGCACTCTGGGAAACACCACACTACAGTGAAGCTTGACAGTTTCCCAGGTGCTTAAAAAAAAAGCTCTTTGGGTGAAATCAGTTAACAAGTCACAAATGTTAACAAGTGTAAATGTTTTCGTGGAATTCTGAACATTTGGAAGGGGTAATCAGTGATCCTTTTTTTAAAAATAGCCAAAGCCTGAGGACAGGTAATAATTTATTAAAGTATTAGTGAGACCAAAGGGATCTAACATAACTAGGGTACAAAAAGTTCCTGGATTTGGATTTACATTTCACATTACAACTAAGCTTTGAGATCCCAGATGTGACTTGTGTCTCCCTCTCACAGAAGGGCCACAGAAAAGGGTATTAAAAGGCTTCTCCTGCCCTGAAGGTATGTTAATGTGGTGAAAAAGGATGGCAGAGTGGCTCCTTTTCTTTACCACCCAGAAATTTTAAAAATGAATTTGTGATAAAGTTGGATTTTTTTCTTTGTATATCTCAATCAAAACATCTCAACAAATTAAATGTAGAAGCAGATAGGAGAAGCTACTTCCTAGACGTTGTTAAAAAAAAAAAAGCAAAATAATTCACTTTCCCCATTGCTTTTGTTCTAGAAGATAGTTATTTTTCATTTTAAATGAGAGTTATGTGGCTGTGTAACAGGATTATGGTTACTTTAAAATGCTAATATACTCTAAATTTCTCTTTTCATTTCAAATACAGTGTATGTTGCTAGACATAAGCTATACGAACAAAAACTCTTCGGGGCTCTCCCATTTTTAAGTGTATACAGAAACCCTAACAAAAGGCAAAAAGTTTTGAGAATGATGGCTCTACAACAAAGAGGTTTCCCCCACCCACAAGCCCCTAGCCGCTGTACAGTGACAATCAGCTATCTTCCATGCACTGTCCTAAGCATTTTACTGTTAATCCAACTTACCTAACTTTTAGGTCGGTAAAGATTAGCCCTGGATTTACAGGTGAGAAAGCAGAGGCAAATCAAGGTTGAGCTAATTTGCCCAAGGTCACATAAGTGGTGGAGCCTGTAGAAGCCAGATGCTCTTGCCAGCCTGTGATCAGCTCTTCCTGTTTAAACAGACACCTTTAACAAGACCGGCTAAACATCCTAATTACGGCAACCTTTCCAGCGTTGAATTGCAAAACTGAGTAGTAACCCTTTATGGACACCCCGTTTAAATGAGAAAGGGGCCCATTCCTACTTTTGGGTTCTCACATCTTTGCTGTCTAGATTAGCCTCAGGGATTCAGTCCTGTATTTCAATGTACACATCTGCCAACTCATTCAGCTGTCCAACTACAAGGGATGTGTTCACTGAATGTAAATTTTGTTTCAGCAAAGTTAAAAAAAAGTTTCAAAAGCTCTGAAGGGCCACCACCAGAATTTTACTGGATAACCCAAAAAGAACGTCTTTTTCAAAAAAGTAAAAATGGATAATCATAATCACCTTTGAAAACATTTCCAAACTTTAAAAAATGTGTGATGTGTGCAAATCTAGGAGAGTTCTCGTGCACTGCTATGGAATCTATTCGGACTCAGAGAGGACCTGTTATTTGAACCTGGAAGTGGGTTTTGCATCCATTAATCTTTTATACACTTTATATTTACTGCTTTTGGTTGTTTCTTTGTTTTTAAGTTTGGTTCCTTACGGACCAAGAGGATAAACTGCCTGAGGTTAAAAAGTCCTTAGGTAAAACAAGTCCTCTTTTATTATAAAAAACAGAGCCCCAAAGAACAAAAGAGCATTTTCATTCTGGGCAATCACCCCAACAGCTAAACGCTGGATTGGGGGGCTGGTTTCGGGTTTTGACTGCAGAGTGGACTGCTAGATACTTTGCGAACAAAATCATGAACATGACCACCATCGACCACCTTCGACAATCCCATCCAACGCTCAGGAAAATTTAGAGAGTAACATTTTAAACTGTGCAATTCTTGCTGTCCTAGCACCACGAGCAGAGAGCTTTTGGCTTTCGGGCTTTCCCGGGGCGATTTTGTCTCTTCCTGGACTCTCATCGCACCAGCACCAACTGCAAGGAGCCGCTATTGCCATTTCCAGCCTGAGGAGATGGGAGGCTCCAGGCGTTAGATTAAGTCACTCCCCAGACCACAGAGCGATTAAACGAAAGGATAAAGCCAAAGCTGGTTGACGCCAGAGCTCTCCTAACCGGCGTGATTCTACCACCCGGGCAATACACATACTAACCAGAAACACGTGGATTCCTGAAGCTTGGCGCGCCCCAGCCATTTTACAGATAAGGAAATTGAGGTCCAGAAAGTTAAAGTCGACTTGCCTGAGTACACACAGCAGGAACAGCCAAATCCAGACACCTTCCAACACAGCGTCCAGATTTACCACGTTTCCTCGTGTACAGCCCTACCTCCCCAGAGCCTGAACTATCCCACCCAACCGGCTCTCCCCAGTCCCACCCTGCTCCACCTTATCTCAGTCCTCCCTCTCCTCCAAAGAGGTAGGAGGAGGTGTGGGTGTGGAACACCCCTCTTCTCTTCTGGCCTCCAGAAACACTTGATAGGCAAAGCAGCCCCCGCTGTGGCTTTCCGTCTGTCCCTAGTTGTGCAAAATGAGCTGGACCGCCAGAGGGCAGGGGGAGGGCAGGAGCAGGCGCGGGGGCAGCGGCACACCAATCACCCTTAAGTAGAACGTTGGTGATGGACTTCAGGTGCAACCGTCCTCTGGGCACGGACCCCTCCTGGAGGCGCAATGCAAAACGGCCGCGGCCGCCAGGTGCGTGGAGGGGATGGGGCATGGAAAGCAGAAAGTACAACGAGTGGGCTTTGCCCAGCTGACCTCCCCTGTCTCCCCCCACCCACCCTCCCAACTCTGGAACAGCCAACCAACCCTACTGCTGCGGTCAAGTCAGTTTCGACTCGTGGGGAAGCTAAAGGACAGACTTGAAACTGCCCCTTGGGGTTTTGACCCTGAAAGTCCTTTTCTCTCTCAGAGCAGCTGGGTGGTGTGGAACTGCTGCCCGCGTGCTGTGCTGGACAGCCCAAGAAGTTACCACCAGGCTCCCCCAAACCCAAACTGCCACCCAGGCGAAGCTCATAGCGACCCTAGAGGACAGGGTAGAAACTAGAACTCTTTCCGGGAGTAGAGCGCCCTGTGTTTCTCTTCAAGAACCGCTGGCCTTGCAGTCAGCATTCGAACTCTGCGACTCCTTAGGACCCCTGCTCCGCCACCTCTCACAACCCCTCTGTAACCGACCCGTAATCGCTACGCCTGCCTCCGGGGCTGAAAAGGCCTGCAATCGAGAAAACACCCCCACCCCCCCCTTTGGATGACACAGGCAGGCCTCCTTGCCCAGGCTTCACCATTCAGGAATGTGTTTAAGACTGGGGAGAAGAGGGAGGGAGGCATCCTGTGGACGGGCAGACAGTAGTGTGGCACCTAGGAAGGGCTCTGAAGCCAATGGGTGAATGGAATGAATGAATGATGAATGGGCACAGGCAACGCTGCAGCAAATTCCACATTTCCACAATGCCAACCTCCTTCCAGGCCTGAGCTTCCTGCTTCTAGCAGGGGTCTGGCTTATTCTCTGCTGATTTGATACTGCTAAATCTTGAGGCTGTAGCTTCTAGGACAGCGGTTCTCAACCTGTGGGTCGCCTGATTCATAACCGTAGCAAAAGTACAGTGATGACGTAGCAATGAAAATAATTTTATGGTTGGGGGGGGTCACCACAACATGAGGAACTGTATTAAAGGGTCAAGGCATTAGGAAGGTTGAGAACCACTGTTCTAGAACAAATTCTTTCTCTATTAACCTCCTCCTGGGCCCTGTGTGGCCCTCAGATCTGAATGCTCCTTGGACCTTTTCCCAGTCCCTCCCCAAACAGCTCCGGCATGCTCACCTCAGTCAACCAGGCCCAAGAAGCCAAAGGGCCTTACTACCAGCAATACCCAGGGGTTGATTTTTCTCCTGGGTGGCCGGCAGCTCAACTAACACGGAGCCAAGCCCTTAGACCCACCACCCTGGCTGCACCCTACTAGCCTGAGGGAGTGCCATCTTCGCTCCCTCCCTGGTGGCCTGGAATCTTAACTGGAGTCCCCTCGAATTGCCAAGAGCACTGAGGGTACCAGGGTAGGCCTGCTGGCACCAGGGCACCACAAGTCCTAAGTGCTCAAGTTCACCAGGCTCTCCTGGACCATGTGTCTGGGGGCCCAGAGAGTGGGCAGTGCAGCCCACCAGGGGAAGCAGCTCAGGCCACCAGCTCCTCCTCGGGGTGCGAGAAGGCAGTAGGTGGCTGGAGAGCGGGGTGGCTGGCTGGGGGTGACCAAGAACTGGATCCCAGGCCTGGAGGCTCAGGGCGTCTGGGCAGGGGCCCAAGCAGACCATTGTGTAGGGTGGATAGGGGAGATAGGGGAGCTGATGGGGGTGGGGATGGGAATGGAGGTGGGGGTGGGGAAAAAGAGAACTTGAAACAATGCCTCCCTTCTCCTCCCCCACCCCCTCTCACACACGTGTGTTGCAACTTCTTGGGGGCTCCACTCCTTTACTCTCCCAGGGCCCACTCGCCCTCCCCTGGGGCCTCCGCGTTGTGCAAGGCACCCCAAGTTTACTAACCTCCAGGATGACCCAGTGCTCTTGGGGCGTCCACTTCTCACTCCACCTTCCAGCCTGGAACATTTATGTGGCCCCACAGGGAAAGGCTTTTCGACAATCACTCCTAAACGGGTTTCATATCTGTAGTGGACCACTGAGCAGTGGACCAACCTTCGAAAACCAACTGGCCGCTGGGGAAGCGGCTTAAGCCACTCCCCCCAGGAAATCGCCCACCCTCAAGTTCCCTGGTCCCAAGATGAAAGAAGTGCAAATTCGGGGGTCACTTCCAATGGTAAAGCGATAGCAGCTATTGTCTTGTCCACTCTTCCCAGCTGGGGGTGTGAAAGCACCGTGATCAAGCACGGAAACACACCCCGCAAACTGCCCAAGGAAAACTTTGAAAGAAAGTTGAAAGATGTGGAAAGAATTTGGGGGGAGGGGAGGAGAGGAGGAGGTTGCAGTAGAGAAAGATCTACAGTATAAACCCAGTCAGTGGCTAGGCCAATGGGGGCAGGGATGCGGCGAGGTAAACTGAAGCCTAGAAACGGGCCCTGGGCAAGGGGTTACAGAGAGATCTTTCTCTGAACCCCAAATGCTTCCAATCTTGAGGCAGCTTCCCAACCCTGGCAAGCTCCAGGACTGGGAGAACCATGGGAGTGGAGAAGTACTTGCACACCCCCATGTTGGCGCCCCCCCCACCACACACACACACACACACACACACACACACACACGGCTTCTAGGAAGACTCTCCTCCCCATCCTTCTCTGAGCATCCTCCAAGTTTGGGGTTCCACTCCTCCCAAAGCCTGCCTTGGGCCACAGTAAGAACTCCCAGAGGGCAGTGGCCTATCTCAGGGCACCTAACTCTGAGTCTCACGGGGGTAGGCGGTACCGAAGGCTTTCCTCCCTCCCCACTGCTCACCTCAGCCCAGGGGCCTCAGGTAATCCCTAAAGGAACCAGCCCTTCACGGCCAGTCCAGCCCTCGCTGGTGGGGGAGGTGACGGGCGGCCAGGATCGCTGCCTTTGGTGGCTCCTGCCCCCCAGGGGCTTTCCTGCCTGGCTTTAACCCTTTGGAGTGCCGTGGCTAGCTGCAGCTTGCCTGGCCTTCTTCTCCCTTTATCTGGTCCCTAGTGACCACTGTAAAATGCCCCCCACGATGGGTCGTGTTCCCTTCCCCAGTTGTGTCCTCTTCCCCTCTCTCAGCCATAAAGTCAACACTTATCACCAAATCCAAACTCCTTGGTCAACTACTTAATCTCGGGAGACTGGACAAAGGACAGCCAGACATGAACTCAGATACAGTCTTTTCCACTAGCACCTCCCACCATGATGCCAGTGGCCTGCGTCGTGGTTTAGATGGTCTTCTGGGCTTGATTTGATGCCAACCCTGGCTCTTACTAGAATGTGACCTTGGGCAACTCCTGTCAGCCTCGTAGCCTAACCTCCATGGTGGTGGTTCTTGACCCCAGAAGTGCCACAACTCCCGGCACAACGGAACTGAAACTCTGCTGCCAGCCCCAGCAGTGGTTGCAGATTGGCTCATTGTCACCCACAGGGTTTTCCTTGGCTGATTTTGGCAAGTAGACCATCAGGCTTTTCTTCCTCATCTGCCCCCAAGGGCTGTTGGCAGAATAAACCATCCATACATTTGAAGCGTTTCAGATGTGCTCGACACAGAGAAGGTAAATCTCCCATCCCAAGTTCCTCCAGTTACCTTGAAAGGCCTTTTCTTAGTTCTTAATAGAAATGAAGTATTTTTAAAGCATGAGAAAAGTGGTCGTCTCACAGAAAGGATCTAACTGCATTCTGCCTCTCAGTAACTTGCACTCTGCGCTACCATATTTTTAAAAGTGATGGCTATCATTTAAAATTCTTTTAAAAGCAATCTTTAAAAGTAGTTCTTTAAAAGAACTATAGTTTTTTTCTTTTTAAAAAAAAGGTTTACGGAGGCTTCCACTACAAAAGTAAGAGTGTTATTTTTAGAATAATTGGGAACATTTTAAAAGTCAAAGGAAGAAAAAATTACCTATAATCTCGTTATCTCAAGACAGCTATTGTGTTGTGCAACTCAAAGAATGTAATCAATGGCACTGAATTGTACATGCAGGGAGCCGTTGAGTTAGTGTATAAGTTCTGTGTGTATTCTCAGCAACAGCTTAAAATAAAGTGAATTATTTTTAAAATTAAAGAACTACACGTATCCACATCCAAACTCACTGCCGTCAAGTCGCTGCCAATTGAGAGTGACGCTGTGGGCCAGGGTAGAACTGCCCCTCTGGGTTTCCAAGACTTGTAACTCTTTGCCAAGTAGAAAGCCCTTGGTGCAGTCGGTGGTTTCAAACCCACTACAATGCGGAGTATAGAAAGCAAGTTGTAGAAGAACAGCTACAGGATGTGCCCTGTCCTTACAAATGCGAAAACTTGCTTCCGGGTTGTAGATGTCTATTGTAAAAGTATCAAGAGTCACACAAAGAGATGATACATGCAATTTCAGGACAGGGGTGACCTCGGAGAAAGGAAACGAGATGAAATACAAAAGGGTGCTGTCACTGCCTTTGTAATGTCTATTTTAAAAGACATGAATCAAAATTGGCCAAAACGTTATATTTTGAAGCAAGAGCATGGATACACGTGTATTCCTCATACTTTATCCTTTTTTTTTTTAATGCTTGAAGTAATCTGAAATTAAAATATTATATAAAAATAGGGGGGGAAAGACAGGTATTGTGAAGAGCTCAGCATATTTCTTCCTAATTAATTTTTTTCTTAGAGTCACACAAGTTAAGCATTGTCTTTATGAAAGACTCTGCAGAGTTTAAAAAAGTAAATTGCAGAGCACAATTTAGGAGGGAAAAAGTAAATTGAGCAAGTTCTCCTTGTTGACCATCCCATCACCCCCACCTCCACCCTCTTGTGCCAGTCCTTTTTCTGTGCAATTCCATCGGTTTGGGTGTTGCCTTACTGTGGAGTTCCCTGTGTAGTGACCCTCCAGCACAGAGGACTGCCCCGTAGAGTTCCCAAAGCTGTC